GAGACAATTCTCTCACTTCAGTGATAACTTCCACTGCTACAATTGATTATTTTCTCCAGCCAGTGGGGTTAGCAGCAGTAGATATAAACAGCTGAGTAAGTAAACATGGCTGATATTTTCTGTTCTCCATCCTCATGTCTTTCCATATCTATCTTTATCCTCAATTGTTTAATATCGTATCCTGTAAAGCTTGATGAGACCCCTAAAATCCAGGCTTTGGTATCTTTTTTCACATAATAAATATTCTGCAACTTACTTGAAAATAGGGCAGGGGCAAAGGAAATAGCAATGGAAAACATTATTTTGAATTATTCTCATAACTTTGATAAATTGTACTTAAAATTTCATAGAAATGAGGAAAAAGAAATCCAATGGTTTAATCTTTGTTGTTGTTAGTTGCAAAATTGTGTCCGACCCATTGTGACCCCATGGATAACATTCCTCCAGGCCTTCCTGTCCTCTACCTTCTTCTGGAGTCCATTTAAGCTCATGCCTATTGCTTCAGTGATTCCATCCAGCCACCTCATTCTCTGTCATCTCCTTCTTCTATTGCCCTCAATCTTTCCCAGCATTAGGCTTTAATCTTACAAAGCAAAAAAAATATCTTTCTAATAATAACTATAATGAAAAATAAGGCATATGGATGAGGAAAAGTTTGGGACATTTAATTTCATTATTTGCCCCAGAACATCTGCCATGTATATGAAATAAAGATAACCGAATATGAAAAGATATATACAATTAAATCAGTGGGGCACTATAGAAACACTAAAAAAAAAAAAAAAACTTCTGACAAGTCAGTTGGAAAAGTTAGATTCACTTAATGTCACTAATTTAACTGAAGTGATTCACTTAACTGTGGCAATAAAGGTTGTCTGACATGCTCTTGTCTGGAACCTTTTTTCTTCCTTACAGACAATTCCCAAAAATTAATTAGCTATTTTATAAAGGAGGGAACAGCCCTTAATCAAGGCAAAGTTGCTCAGAAACCTTAAAAAATCTAAAATTTCCTACCTTTGCCCTCAGCATTAAAATAGAACAGTGGAGAAAAGCTTTGTCTAGAATTTAAGAGGTTGTTCCAAAATTCAGCAGATATGTTGATATTTCCTTCATCTAGCTATCTGAGGTCTTTTCTGGAATTAAAAAAAAATGCAGAGTCCACTATTCCATTTTTTAATCCATATATAGAATAGAATTCTTTATTGGCCAAGTGTGATTGGACACACAAGGAATTTGTCTTGCTGCATATGCTCTCAGTGTACATAAAAGAAAAGATACATTTGTCAAGAGTCAAGAATCATAAGGTACAACACTTAATAATAGTCATAGGGTACAATAAGCAATCAAATCATACTAGAAAACAGTCAATATAAATCGTAAGGATACAAGCAACGAAGTTACAGTTATACAGTCACAAGTGGGAGGGGACAAGTGATAAGGAGTGATAAGAAGATTAATAGTAATAGTAATGCAGACTTTGTAAATAGTTGGACAGTGTTGAGTAAATTATTTGTTTAGCAGAGTGATGGTGTTCAGGAAAAAACTCTCCATGTGTACAGTTGTTCTGGTGTGCAGTGCTCTATAGCATTGTTTTGAGGGTAGGAGTTGAAACAGTTTATGTCCGGGATGTGAGGGGTCTGTAAATATTTTCACAGCCCTATTTTTGACTCGTGCAGTATACAGGTCCTCGATTGAAGGCAGGTTGGTAGTAACTGTTTTTTCTGCAGTCCTAATTACTCTCTGAAGTCTGTGTCTGTCTTGTTGGGTTGCAGAACCCAACCAGACAGTTATAGAGCTGCAGATGACAGACTCAATAATTCCTCTGTAGAACAGTATCAGCAGCTCCTTGGGCAGTTTGAGCTTTCTGAGTTGGCGCAGAAAGAACCTTCTTTGTTGTGCTGATGACGTTTTTGATGTTAGGTGTCCATTTTAGGTCTTGTGATATGATAGAACCTAGAAATCTGCTCTACTGTTGATACTGTGTTGTCTAGTATTGTAAGAGGTGATAATATGGGAGGGTTTCTCCTAAAGTCTACCACCATTTCTACGGTTTTGAGTGTGTTCATTTCCAGATTGTTCCGGTTACACCACAAGGCATGTTGTACAACCTCCCATCTGCATGTGGATTTGTTGTTGTCTCGAATGAGACCAATCACTGTTGTAACATCTGCAAACTTCAGTATTTTAACAGATGGATTATTTGAGAGTCATTGGTATATATAGAAAAGAGAAGTGGAGAAAGCACACAGCTTTGGGGTGCCCTGTGCTAATTGTACAGGTATCAGATGTGAATCTGCCTAGCTTCACCTACTGCTTTTTGTCTGTTAGGAAACTTATCATCCACTTACAAGTGTGTTCAGGTACCGCTAGCTGGTTTAGTTTAGTTAGAAGAATGTCTGGAATGATGCTATGGAATGCTAAACTGAAGTCTATAAAGAGGACCCTTGTGTAGGTATTTGGAGATTCGAGGTGTTGTAGGATGTAGTGCAGAGCCATATTAACATATTTGAGGTAACAATGAAAATCAAATAACAGAACCTTGCAGCTAAAAAAACATCCTCAGCTAGGTAGATAAAATTAGACAGAGGAAAAAATAGTAAGTTTTAAAAATGTTTCTGCTGAAAGTGAGCTGCCAAATGGGGTATAATAGCCAGCAAATCAACAGAATAATTTGCAAACTACTTACAAAGTGTTACCAGTCCAAGCCTGTTTTTTTTTCTTAAACCAGTTTAAATAAACAGCTATGAGCACAGAAACAGATTAAACAGTTTATGTTGATATATCTGCAGTCACAACCTTAATTTCTCAAACAATTTATTTTACAAATTTAAATGCAATAGTGGCCAACAAATTAGATCCAAAGTATGAAAGTGAGAAAAAAATGTTATACGAAAAAAATTACAGTAAAATTTATTTCTCCTTGCTGTTACACTTTTGGAAAAAGTTGGCAAAATGCCAGTCTAATCTTTTGTCCCCACCATATTTACAGGTCTTTCTGCCAAATACCATAACATTTTGGTCTTTTTTACTGTTCCTATAATAGTATCCAATAGTATCCAACAGCTACCATTTTTAATTACAGAAATAAGTAAAAGGGTTTTTTTTCTAAAGCTTTTTTAAAAACACCAAAGTAGTAAGGAAAGCCCTACCTGATAAATTTCTCAAGCTGGTGACTATATTGACAATCCATGTGCCTACAGTTCTCATCCCAACACATCCGAAATGCATGAAATAGGGGAAGGCTATACTGAGGCAAAAATTATACTGTATATTTGTCAGAAATTCACTGATGTAGAAAAAAATTTGGTATTTCAAAAATATTTTTTTCTGAAAGCCTAAAATGTGAAATAAATACTTATTTGACATTATTAGCAACATTATAAAACATACTTTAAATTAAAAATACATTAGTTTTGTTACAGGGCCTTAGAGCAGATACAAAACATGTCTGACTATACTTCTAACATTAAGAGCCGAGGTGGTGCAGTGGTAGTACTGCTGGCTACTTCTGCTGACTGCTGTCTGCCTGCGATTTGGCAGTTCGAATCTCACCAGGCTTAGGGTTGCCTCAAACTTCCATCTTTTCAAGGTTGGTAAAATGAGGACCCAAATTGTTGGGGGCAATATGCTGACTCTGTAAATCACTTAGAAAGAGCTGTAAAGAACTGTGAAGTGGAATATAAGTCTAAGTGTTATTGCTTTATTATGTCTTTCTTTATAGTTAAATTGGCATTTATTTTTTCAATTGGTCAAACAACTTAGATGAGCCAATCCAAAATTTATATGGTTTGAATGCGAATACTGTGGTAGCCACAGTTGTTTCTTTCAAGTATTTGTGAATTTTGGTTTTGATTTCTTTGTTTTTATGCTTTTAGCCACATGTAAGCCACCCAGTATTATTACTGCAAGTTGGGCAGTTATGTAAATGATCTAAAATAAATAAAGATAAATAGGTATTTTACAATAGTTCAAGAGCTTATCAAATAATTGATAACAGAATGGGCAAGCAATTGTCTTCAATGCAACTATTTTCTAGAAATAAAATCAAAGCAAAATTACCTTTTCCCTATGTTGCAGGAATTATTATAAGGGAGATAGGAAAAACAAAGGATCATGAATTTACTATGTCTAATCTGATAATATCTTTACTTCTATCAAAACCTCTCTTCCTTTTAATTGCAAAAATAAGAAAATCATTGTGAGCTATGTAATCCAAAAAAGGTAAAATATGCAAACATATGGATTTCAAAAGCATAGCATTAAAACTATTATTAGTACCCTTATGTATTTTTACTTAGAGCTTCCTTCTATTCATCTATAAATCAAAAGATATCGTTCCCTGAAGAGAAGACCTAATAAAAAATAAATAGATTATGAAAAAGCCAAAAATCCATATTCTATGGATGTTTAAACAGAATTCTCTCATAGATTACTAAGAAAGCAGATTTATTTTCACACAGTGAACCTGCAGAATCATTGGAACACTTCAGAACAGAATGTATTCTCTAAGGTTTTTTTAAGAACTCATTTATAGCTCTTCAAGGAGCTCTTTGAAAAAGGATATTTTATGAATAAAAACTTTTACATAAGCCTATTTATTTTATAAAGTATACCAACTTCAAATGAAAAGGACAAAAACCGAGATATAAAGAGAAATTCATGAAATTCGGGTACAAAAATGTCTTCATGGATAATTTGCAAAAAATTGAAGTAAACTTTTAAAATAAAATTTCAAGTGTAATTTCTATCCCGGCCAAACCACAAGCAAACTATTTTTTTAAACAGAGTCTAATTATCCATGGGTCAGTCCAGCCATCCAGCCATCCAGCCATCAGCCATCCAGTCATCCAGTCATCCATCCTTCGTCTTCCCTTAAATTAGCATGCTCACTGTAGAATTCTGAGAGTTGAAGTCCACACATACTAAACTACTGAGGTCGAGAAACTCTGCTTTAAATCACTTTGTCCTACCACATTGATACATAGAACGTTGCTTCTTACCTTTGTTGTGATTTGCCCCAGATGCTATTTTCCCCCACAGTGTTACAACAAATATTATTATTAGCAGTTTTCCTTTCGTTGCTTTCTGCAAGTATCTTTTATTCATCCTAGAGGAAAAAAATACACAAAATGAAAAAATTCCAAAATATATTTTTTCATTTTATAAAAATAGTTAAAAACATTTCCAAACACATACAAATCAGTTACTTGCCAAATACAACAGGAAGTTAATCTCTTTAACATAAAGTCAGATCTAGTTCAGTTCATCCACTTAAATCTTTCTGCCCAAACAAAAGTCTCATATAATGGTTCTAAATATGTGAGATTCATGGATGGGCATTTAGCAAGTCCAAACAAAGATACTTTCACTTGAATGCTACCAAACCATGAATTCAAAACAAATTGGGTGCTTAATATGTTACTAATACTTTGACTGGAGCACCCAAAATTGGTTAGAAGATAGGCAACTATATAAATGTTTTAAGTAAAAAATAAGTTAAAAATACTTAATACTAAGGATCAGCAGGAGCTAATTAATTCTACAAGAACTATTAATATCAATTCCTCATTCCTGCTTCCTTGTTTGGACTTTAAGCATCTCCCAAAATTTACATCAATGGGGATAGTACATAAATACTGTTAATTAATTAATTAATACTAAATTAATTATTATTAAATTCAAAGAAACAATAATGTACAATAACATAACTGCCCAGTTGTGGCCCAATTGTGACAGTGAGGATATATTATCTATAATAGTTCCAGAAAAAAACTATATGTATTACTCAAACAGTAGAAGGTTTATCGTTGGGAGGTAAAGCAGTACAGAAATTTCTAAAATGTTGTGACTGATTATAGAGCAAAAAAAATAGTGAAGTCAATGGCATCTCCAAATTACTGTTCTTAAATAGCTTAATAAAATCACTCAAAATCTTGTTCCAATATCCATAAAATATTTGCCAATATAACAATATAAGATGCACTGCTACAGCAGATAACAATCACCATAATCTTCAGCACGAATGGTCATGTAATGCAATGAACACCTGGTATTAATAATAACGAGAACATATACAAATTATTCTGAATCACAGGAAGAACTCTGCTAATAACATTGTGCCTAATAGGCACAATGCTCCAAACCATCATAAAAAACAAAGCACTTGGTGAAATTTCTGCAATACAATCATTGTAGAAAGCTTCTACAGCAGTGAAGACCCCAGAATAAAAGTCAGTTTAGCTTATTCTACTTACCGGCATTTCAAATATTATAATACACCCAGCCCAATTTCAAAGATTTCTGATTGGTAAAAATGCTAGATTCAAATGTAAGCAGTGATTTATACATATACAGGTAAGTTATATAGCTAAAAATGGCCCTCCATACACAACAAGGAGATAAGGAGATATAAAGCTTTGGGAACTACAAAAAACCCATAATATTTTAGGGAGATAGTAATTTTAAAACACTCAAGCATGATGAACTAGTAAGACAGCTGAAAACCATATATAGCAGAAGCAATTCATGAAGAAATGAAACTGAAGACTCTTCACTCGTGACATTTTGGCACTATAGGATAAGTTTAGCACTTCTGTGATTCTATACTATTGGCAAAGAAATGCTTGGGGGAAGCGAGGGCATCTGGGCACCAGGTGCTGAAATGGGCCTGTTTCTCTCTAGTTGCTGCCTAGGCCCACCGGAGAGAAGGCCAGCATCTACTGGCACTTAATCATGACAGCATTCCAGCTCTGGCCTGAAAGGGGCAGCTGGCATGGCAGGCAGGATGCCCGCTCGCTTCAGCACCTTCCCCAACCCTCTGGTGCTTTGGCCCTGGGCTGCCACCTTATGTACAGGCCCAGCCCCTACCACCTGACGCAGTTTTCACCTGAGTGATGTGATTGAAAATTTCCATTGTTCCTCTCTTGGACTTTTGGGAAGGGTTTTTTTCAGAACACATCTAACCAGTTCGCAGACATCAATAAAAAATTAGATACTGATTCTATTGAACTGATGCGAACCAGCTGAATCCCACCACTGATTACATTGACTATCAATTTATTTCCAGATGATATATAAAATGTTCCCTATCCAGCTGGAGTCCAGGATTCCTGTCAGAATGTCATCTTCTAAATCGGGGTATCAAACTCAATTTCATTGAGTGGTGCATCAGCATTGTGGCTGCACTCGGGAGGCTGGAGGCATGGCCAGGGTGGGTGTGGCTGGGTGGGCATGGTTGACTGGGTGGACATGGCCAGCTCAACATTGCTCATGTCAGGGGCCGCCTCTGGGGGACCAGGCAGGCCTGCGGGGATCCAGGTGTCTCCGGCAGAGAGAAGCAGCAGCAAGGCTGGTACTGTGCCTGATCCACCCAAGGAGCTAAGACAGACGGTGGCATTGCAGCGAGGCAGCCCAGCTAGTCACCATCACTGCCAGACCCCTTGTGTGCTTGACACCTGCCATCCAATCTTGTCCTCCAGTGAGCCTTCTACCCACCCACCCATGCCAAATAACCCTGGTGAACAGGAAGGGAGGGGAATAAGCTCGCTGGAAGATGAGGTTGGACAGTGGGGACCAAGCACTTAGCATGGCATTGACAGCGACTGGCTGGCTGGCTTGCCTCAAATCCACCATCTGTCATTGTTTGCCCGTGGCTGCTACAGCTGGGACTGGGCAGGTGGCCACATGGTCACCCTGCACATCCAGTAGGCCAGGTCATGTGCCTCCCCCACTGTGTCTCTGCCTCAGTATGCTGCTTGGAGACCCAGCCCAGTGGTTGTAGTGCTCCACTTCCACCTGCACTGCATGGACTGAGGAGCCCCATAGTGCAGCGGCCGAGGGGCCGGTAGGCTTCTGCTGCTGGACATAGTCCCTCCTGTGCATACGCTGGCAGGCATCCACCTGGGGCAGGCTGTGGTCAGGGCAGCAGGGACTGGTCCCTCAAAGTCTCTAGGGTGGCCCTGCAGGCCAAATCTGGATCCATCATGGGCCTTATGCTTGACATGTCTATTCTAAATGATTCCTCTGTTCCTCATAGTTGGTCAAGATGATCTGTGGACTTTTTCCACCTTTGTTATGTTCTTATTTTGCAATAGTTCGGGTTGAGCTTTGATGTATTCTCTGGGATATAATCGCAGATGAGTTAATAATCCTAATGTCTGCTGTAATTTTAAAAAAGATTTAAAATTATCTTTTGGAGAGGCATTGATGACAATGTAAACTTATTTGGGGGATTATACATCAGCAGATTCCAAATGTCACGCAGTCACCTTGAACTATAAGATGTGCCATAAATAGATTTAATAATAATAATAAGTGGCAATCTTCAAATAAATTGGGCCATCAACTTAATCATATTAGCAGAATACCAGGTTCAAAAAGGCTGGATCTCCTGAGACACAGAACAGTGTTATTATTATTATTTAGTTTTTGTTTATGTTTTACATATATATTAATTTGGTTTATTTAGATTTTTAGATTTTTTAATTTAGATTTTTATATATTGTTTTGTTTGTATTCTGTTCACATTTTTTCAGTTCCTCTTTTCTGTAGTATTAAGAAAATAAAATTATTTATAAAAATATTTTAAAAGGTTAATTTATAGAAATGCTGTGAGAAGAACAGTATATTAATATTTTTCTTCTGCAGATGGAAACCTAAATCTAAAATTTAGTAAATGAACTTCAAAAGCAAACCAGTGAATTAATGGAAGAAATGATATTTTAAACAATATTGCATAATTCATACACATTATGCAAAGATATAGAAATGGATCTGATGTTGGGGAAAACAGAAGTAAAGGGAAGAGGATATGTAGCAGCAAGATGGATGGACACAGTTACAAGGGCGATAAGTGCACTTTGGAAAGATCTGGGATATCAGTTTAGGGATAGATCATTATGGAGCAAATCAGTGTGTTGTTAGTAGTTGAAAACTACTTCAACATAATTCTTAGCTTTCTAAACATCACTGTTTAAAATATAGCAGTAATTCATACTTCATTTTTATTGTAAACAAAGTACAAATAGACCATGCTGTGACCATTTACCCACATTATGCAGTTATTTTCTCTCCAATCTATATCCACTTGTAAACAGTAACAAGCAATTGATTCTAATGATGGCTTTGATACTTCTGGAAGTAAGCAAATGATGTGAAACTGCATTCAATACAATTTTCTTTTCTTTTTTATTTCATCTATATCCTGTCTTTCAAATCTTCTCTATATTCAAGGCAACATTTTATAAACAAAATCAGAATATACAAAGTTAAAATATGAAACTAAAATTAATACTAAGTCCATAACATAGGACAAAAAAAGTGTATTCATAATGCTCTGAGAGAAGAGCTAAATGTAATTCATAAGAAAGAGTAGTCCATTGCTACGGAGCATAGCAAGAAAATACCATGTCCATGACTGAAAGATGAGGCTCTACAGAGGGGGCATCACGGAAATGACAACTGTTGCAGATCATAACTGCAGTCTTGTTCATAATGCAGTAAGAGATGCCTTAGTAATGCCTTGTTACTAGGACTCCTCTATAATATTGCACGGACATATGATACAAATTGAAAAACAGAATCAGCAGCAGGAAGAGGTTTCCACTGAAGATCACTTTAGTCTGCTTTTGTAATAAATAAATAATAAATTGTACTTTTTAAATGTGAAAATAATTTAATATGTTAATGTTGGAAAAAGTTATGGGAAACCTTACATACTTAATATTAGCAGTTTCAGATAAGTGTCATATTTAATATCATTCTATACAAAGGAAGTATAAAACCATTTGATTTGAATTATGTGTCATATAATTGGATGCAAAGCTTTGGAACAATATAGTTTTGTTTTTTTAAAAACTGTCTGTTTTCAGGACTTGAAGCGTACAAAAAGAGAATTTCTCATTTCTTCATTTAATACAAGGAACAAATTCTGAGCTCTGAGCCATTTGTTTTATTTTCTGTAAGAACTGCAATTTAGCATATGAGAATCCTAGAACTTAATTGACTGTTTTACCACTCTCTTAAAAAGCAGAGTAATACCTATCTTACAAATATATGTTAAGATGCATTTCAATAAGAATACTAATTAGTTAGTACAACTGATAACA